GAAATATCATATTTTTCTCTATATTACAAACAGACAATCCACCTCCAAATGTAAAAATCCCTACTAGATTTTTGGTTCAACAAATGAAACTTATCGTGCACCTTTTTTTTCTTTATTTCAATATGCTATCAAACAAATCATCCAGAACGATAATAAAATTAAATTAAATCACAATAAAAGAGAAACAAACAACAAGGTTTATTTTGTTCTTAACATTTTTTCAGTACAATGGTTTCCGTTTGACATTTTCAGCTCAAGTGGAATATTGGTTAGCGGCGCTTGAATGGGACTTATTTTCCACTTCGCGAACTTAAGCTCAGAACCAATAAGTCGAAAGTTAAATTGCCCTTTGACATGTCACATGACTGGCTGTCGCGCGAGACGCCGTTAGTACGGAATTTAAAAAAAAAACTAAATTAGTAATCTATGCGCTATTCCAGGCTATCTATGTCTATTCCATATTTAATTCAAATTTATTGTGATGTTACGTAATAACCAACATCCATACAGCCACGCTGAAACAAATTTATAAAATTAGTAAGATAAAGTAATAAGGTAAAAAAAACGTTCCCATAGAGTCAAACATGTTTAAAAGATAAATTTGTTATTATAATTGGAACGTTTCATAAATTTTTATATAAAAAAAATACTCTGTCGATTTCAAATTATAAAGCTGTATCTACTGGTTCGTGAAATTTTACCAAATAATGTTCATTATTCACAAAATTTGATATACTATTTACTTCGCAAACTAGACGGTTTTTGTGACCACACTATCCATATTTGTAAATCTGACCAACCTACAACTACAACGCGGGATATTTTTTTTAGATCAAAAAAATATAAAATATCCATAAAAATTTCGGCCACGCAAGAATGAATACTGTAATATTTTTCGAATAACTTTTATGCTTCCGACATAAAGCCAGTCACTGGTTGTATGGGTGTAGCTTAAATTAAAATTTCACTGTAAACTCGAATTGCATTTTTTCATGCATGCACAATGGTTTAGAGGAAAAATCATAAATTTGGTATTACAGTATTTCGAATCAAAGGCACCAGTCAAATATTCAAATATATCGATAAAGTATGTACATCAGTTTTTATTAAAAATGTTTTACGGAACAAAATATGACACAAATTCATCAAAAGAATAACTATCACAAGTCAGATAAAAATAAGCTTTACACATATATTAGAAAATAGTTGACCCACGCGACTCCGTCCGCGCAGAATTATAAAAAAAGGAGTACGTTCTACAACTATGCCAATTTTCAGCGAGATCCATGCAGTCGTTCTGGAGATACCTTCTAACAAACATCCATCCATCTAAACTTTTGTATTTGTAATATTACTGAGATATGTGAAAAGAACTATACATGATATACGAGTCTTATATAATACGTAATAGGTGCATTAAAGGTAACGCTAACTTTCCATGACTCTAAAATGCAAATATACATGCTCAATAAACCACGCGAGATGCCGGCCGCAACCGAATTACACGTAAATTGAACTAACAAATCATTGCAACATTTCAAATTAATGCTACATTTTAATTTGAATTTAAATACTATTTTTAACACATAATCAACGAAATATAGAACGACATAACAAAGAAAATTGTCTAGAATACCTTTCAGTTCGTAACCATTTTAATTTAGTCATACATTCCAGTTTTTAATATTTATTATACAATTAATGTATTTACTTATGGATTAATGATGTATGTATGATGCGCCATACATTACATTTGTGGGACGATATTTAAAATGTGCATAGGTAAAACATTTAACCCTTTAAATGGTAATTGCAGTCGGCAACTGGCCCCTACCGCCGAACTACTGCCGAACTACCGCCGAACAAGCGGTTGTAAATCATTGGCACGTTTCAAATTAATTCACAACAGCGCTTGACTCACTAATAAATTTACTGCGCCACGTACAACTGCTAAAATTAACTTATGTTCAGTTCAAAACGAACACACTACTAATAGAACAAATTCATCTAAAGGAATTTCAACAGTTACCTTTGTTTGTTGAAATATGTTTTGTTGAAATTGATTTACTGGTGTATTGTGTAAGAATTTTAAAACAAATAGCTGTCTGGAATTTTTTAATATTAAAATTCACCGAACCTAATATTTTTTTTTAAATATTAGCAGATTTTTTTGTAAATTTACTAATATTTCTTTAACCATTCCAAATAAGCTCTAGGCTTGTGCTAGGATATGGTTTACGACAATAGTCGAATGGCGGGATTCGAACCCCCGACCTCGTGATCGGAAATCCGTACCCTTAACCATTAGGCTATTGACGCTTTTAATATGGTGTTGACAAGCTAACATACATTTTGAAAATAATATAAATAGACACATTAAGAGGGGTAGACATAGTCCATTCACTTCGAAGCGATTCCACTTCGTGAGAGAACTTCATTTTATGGAGCTGACGCGCAACAATCACGTGACTTATTGAAAGGTATTGTCAGTTCTATTTGGAGTTCCTTATGTGTTCTATTTTCATATTTTTTAATTTATTTTTTCTTGTCAAGACCATATTAATTGGGTTCGGTGCATTTTAATATTAATTCAACTTAATCGGTTAAAGACATCTGCTTCAAAAATGAGTTGCAAGATTCCAAGCAAACTTGCGTTCATAGCTATTAAATAAAAGCTTATAAATATTAGCAGATATAATTTTAATAATAGCAAATAAATTCCACACTTAGGATAGTAATTTCAATATTATCAGGTATTCCAGAAATAATAAGTAACGAGTTTTATTAAGACTGGTTTTATAATTAACGTGGTCGGTCTAATTACTTCAAAGGCGACCTCTACCAGTCTCTTTTGTAACGTAAATATTCAGTCAGTTTGTCACGCAGTCTATCTTACTAATAGTATAATAGTTTAGATTGACGTCTGCATGAATCTCAAGGAAATTTGGCATAGATGTAGAACATAGTCTGGTAGAACTCATATCAAGTTTTTTTAATCTCCGTGGACGGAGTCGCGGCTGATAGCTAGTGATGTATAAATGTAGGTGAAGCAAGTTAAATGTGGAAGGTATGTGTCTCAGTGTCTTTTGTTCAATGTGTCTTTATTTATTCAGTCGTCTGTGATTACGTCTGTGTCGTTTTAATTTAAGAAAGCGTGTGTACTATTCGTGACTTTAAACTATTTCCGTCCAATATTTGTCTAGTTGTTTTGGAATTGCGTCGTAATCCATTCCATTCAAACTTTTATATATTCATAATATTAGGAAATAATAAGATATATTGTAATAAAATATGGTCTTTACATATTTTTCAGCGAAAAAAAATCATTGATTCTTTTCACAGCTTATGTTAAAAATGTTCTCGACAACGTTGATGTGATTTTCCTTGATACAATGATTTTCTTAACAAAATTTCGTCGTTTTAAGAATAACATCCTTCGAGTTTAATCGAGTAGCAATTGTTAAATGTAGTGTATGAACACGATTCGTTGTCGCAATGGAGGCAGTGAGTCGTGCACCTGCGAAACACTAAAGAGCTAATGTAAGGAGTCGTCGTGTAAACGTTCAAACTCCGACCGAGTTTAAACGCGACCAGTAATTTATTTAAATTCTAAGTTCTATTTATAATTTTAATAAGAAGTGTTTCTTGTGTTGTAAATAATCAATGTATCCAATATTTTGGAATAACTTGAGAAATAGACCAAAATCCCGTTTCGCAGACGTACATTATTGCAGCAAAACTGGTACTTTGAATGTCTTAGCGAAATTAAGTAAGTCTGTCGACCGAGGGATATAAGTCTATCATCATGTCAATATAATTCCCTACTGAGGGGCTCAAGCATACTATAATAAGGGTTAAATAGGCCTTAGTCAGCCACGCTGGCCTAGTGTGGGTTGGATGACGTCACACATATCTTTAAATTTCTTCGAAAATAGTATATATGATTTAACATCATCGCAAAAACTTCGGGGTTTACATATGAAATTCGAATATAGAAATAAGACATTGGTATACGGCAGGTTACCAGTACCGCCAAATAACGCCAGGGTATCTACTAGTTAAGGCGCGACGTGATGATGCCATCGGCAAATCATCTCCGTACTGTTAGGAAGAAAATCCGACACTGTGCCGGTGTACCGGCGCAACATCTAGCCTTATTGAAATATCAACGTTTATGTCCCCTTACTAATCGATCTGACACTTGACTTGGTAACGAATTCGCACCAAAGGGTTCTAACTAATGATGTCTAAAAGTACAAGATTACAATTCCATTGGCATATTCATCATCATCAGCTCACTATACGTCCCCGGCTCAGAGCCTACCCTAAGTTAAGGGTGATTAGGTCATAGTCAACCACCCTGGCCAAATGCGGGTTGGTTGACTTCACACATGTCTTTTGAATTTCTTCTCAGATATGTGAAGGTTGCATCACGATGTTTTCCTTCACCGTAAGAACGTCGGATAAATGTACATATGTAAATCGGAAATCGAAAAACACATTGGTACATGGCGGGATTCGAACCCAGGACATGTAGATTGCAAGTCAAGCTCTTCACCACTGACCCTCCGAAGCTGCATATTACTATGTAGATATTAATTAAAATGCTATTCGTTTCATGACAACTTCCAATAATCTAAGAGACAACCGTTTTTTGTTATTAATAATAAAAATAATATTCATCAATCATGTTGCTTAAATAAATTTACATATTTATTTAATGTTTGTGATTAAAGACGTAAAAGTATGAAAAATGTATCTTATTTATAAAAAACAGTATGAAGCTTCCTTGAGAACGTTAATATGTATAGCTAGAATATATGTAAAAACGTTTGAATTTTTCTAATAAAATTTATCGAGTTGTATAGCATTTTAGACGTAAAGATGTATAATAGCAGTTAAGTTATTTAGGAGGAATTTCCTTTGCAATGTGTTATATAAAACAATTATGTTTTTGCAATCAAATATTATAAAAGTGCGAATTGATTGCGTATAATGTCAGTGTTTGATAAACATCTGTTTTGTTTCATTCTCTCGACTACATTCATACATTTAAAACAAATATTTCTCTTTATAATATTGAAGTGGACAAAGCACGAAATATAAAGGATTATATGTGAATTTGGTTTTATTTTATACTGAGGTAAGTTTTTTATTATGAAATATACAATTCATAAGATACTGTTTTATTTATAATATATGAAATAGTTTAGATGGAAATTTGTGGGAATCTAATAAATTTAATAAGGTTTCATATTTATTAAGTCGTTTTTTATTCGAACTATAAAAAATCTTTATAATGCTATTATCTATACTCATTTGTTTATTTAAAAAAAATATTATGATTTTAGATAACATGGCAAGAACTAATTTTGGTATAAAGAACATTCAAAAATTAATATCTATAAGAAATTTTAGCAAAAATTCTCGTAATTTGTGGAGCAAAGACAACATCGTATCTTCCCCTAGCAACGATGTTCAGTTACCTTCGCTCACTGTCAATGATTTCATTTGGGAGAATATTGAGAAATGGGCAGAGAAACCAGCGATGGTAAATATACTTAAAGAATATTATAATGATAAAATACATTCAATTTTTATAATTATCTGTTTCCAAAAAAATCCTCGGAAAGAGGAATTAACTTAAACATAAGTAGTACATTGTGAATTTGGCATTTGTATAACAAAGTGACTAACCGTGGGTTTCCAAGTCCAAAATCTCCTTTTAAAACATGTTAGCTTTGCATTGTCAAAGATAATAACAGGGATGACGATATGTTTTATACAGCGATTATATCAGAAACCCACGGTAAGAGTATATTAAATTTAACCGACTTGATGAAATTAAGGAAATGTTCTATAAGTAATACTGTGTAAATATTTCTAAACAAACATTGCGTATTTTTATTCAGGTTTGTGGAATCACAAATCGAACTTATACTTATCATCAACTATATAAATATTCTCGGAGATTTGGAGCAAAATTGCGTACACTATTCGATATCCGAGAAGACGATGTGACTTGCATAATGATGTCTAATAATCCAGAATACGCTGTAGCCACACTCGGATCTCTTGAAGCAGGCGCAACGGTCACCATAATCAATCCCATTTATACAGTCCGTAAGTATTCAAACTAGCAAAGATAATATTATAAATGTGAATGTTTAGAAGTATGGATGGAGGTTTGTTAGAAGTATATCTCCAGAACAGCTAAACATCCCGCTGAAATTTGACATATAGATTTTGAATATAGTCGGGAAGAACACATAATTAAGGTTTTTTGAGTCGCACACGACAGCTAGTTTTGAAACCTAATTACATAATTATGACTATTATCATCAATATTTTTCTAAGAATAGTTGTAAGTGCATAAAATAAATGTGAATAATTATTTTCTCAGTATTGTTATATCTTGACAATTGTGCTACGCGATCTTATCTTCCAATAAGTGATTCATAGTGATAACACTTTATAAAAAATATATAAGGATTCACAAACAAAAATATAAAAACTCTTATTATTCTCTTGCAGATGAAGTTCAACGGCAACTAATTCTATCATGTCCAAAAATTGTCATTGGAATGCCAGAAACAATTGAAGTACTAAAAGAAGCTTGTAAATTAGCCAAACTTAATATACCAATTATAACCGTTACGAACACGGAGGCTTTACCTGCTGGAACTATATCATTTCACGAACTTATAAACGATGAATATGTAGATACCAGTGTTCTCCAAAGAGTTAATAAAGATATAGATAGAATCGCACTTTTACCGCATTCAAGTGGAACGACTGGTCTACCAAAAGCAGTGGAACTAGTACACAGGACTTTGGTTGCAAATTTTGCTCAACAAAACGGTGAAGCATTCAAATACTGCCAATCTGCTACTGGTAACTATGAAAATTTTATTTCTATGTAAGAGAACAGAATGACAACAATATTTCTTAGAGAAGTCACTGCCATTCTTAATAAGATAAGATGCCTGTTTCGGTAAGGAGCAATTTTTCGGCTCATTGGGCCTTTTCTGAAAAAGGTGTCACGTACCAAGAAATTTTATATACCCTTTAATTTTTTAACCTATATTTTTTTTCAGAGTCAAGTCAAGAGTCACTTTTGGCAGTTCTACCATTCTATCACATTTATGGTTCAGGGGTAATCATGTTACATAAGTTGTCGATGGGTGCTAAAGTGGTTACATTACCTAAATTTGAAAAGAACACATTTCTTAATGCCATTAAACAGCAAAAAACAAGCATATTACATCTTGTTCCTCCTCTAGGTAAATATAAGTTTATTATTTACATTTTTATTTCATAAAGTTCAATTATATTCGTAACTAATCATTTTAAAGAGTATTTATGTTTTCAACATTTCACTTCATATAATATTAAATGACATAATGGATTCAAATATTGAAACCCAAAATTGTTTTATTTTTCTAGCATCTTTTTTGGCCTCTCATCCTGAATGTAAGAAGGAAGATTTATCGAACGTCCATACATATATCTGCGGCGCTGCACCTTTACCTAAACAAGACATTTTCAGAATTTTAGACAAATCTAAGGTTATAAGCCACATTTTTTATTTAAATAGTATTTGTATAAGTTGAAATTCTTTTAAGATGATAAGGTGATTTTTTTTTCTCAGTCAGACGTGGATTTCTTACAAATATACGGACTCACTGAAGTGTCACCTTTAGCCACAACCGCGCCGTTGGGATCTAAAAATTATGCAACAGTTGGTGTCGCTTTGCCGAACACAAAACTACGGATAGTCAATTCGAAAGATGAAAGCTTAGGACCGAACGAGGTAACAGATTTTTCTAAATATCATCTAAAGTAGACTTCCTAGAAATATCTCTAACTTTCCTTCAGACAGGGTTAGACAAAATGCATTTGCTCTGAAGTGACTCCATTAAGAATTTCTAAAATATATGGCACTGACGCGCAACAATGACGTGACTTATCGAGTGTTATTTTTAGTTCTATACATCGTAGAGTGGTTCCCGTAGTTCAGTTGAGACTATTATAAGGTTGATTTTGAAAGCAATAGTTTATACATACTATTAAATTTCAGGTTGGTGAACTATTAATAAAAGGCCCTCAAGTAATGAAAGGCTACAAAGATAATCCAGAAGCAACCAAAGCTGCAATAACAGATGACGGTTGGTTTAGATCTGGCGATTTGGCTTCTATTGATCAAGATGGTGTGGTCACCATATGTGATAGAATTAAAGAGCTCATAAAGGTATTGTAATATATTCATACTCAAATTAACAGACTTCTTTCTAGCGAAGAACGGAAAATCATAAATGATTAAAAATCCAAAAAATTTAAAATTCTGGGAATGTTTAATCACATAAAGTATCTTTTAGTGTAATTCTACTCGTGCATAAAAGGACTTATTTATGAGACTAATTGTAGCATCTAGGCATTTGCTTATCAACAAAAACTTTCCTTTCTCAGGTAAAGGGTTTCCAAGTAGCACCAGCCGAACTAGAGAGTGTATTGAAAGAGCATTCGGATGTACTAGACGTAGCGGTAATTGGTGTTCCAGATTCAAAAATGGGTGAAGTTCCTAAAGCATTTGTGGTAGTTAAAGAAGGAAGTAGTATTAATTCTAATGATTTAAAACAATTCGTAGAAGAAAGAGTTGCTGCTTATAAAAGATTAAGTGATGTTACATTTATAGATAGCTTACCAAGGAATCCTTCGGGAAAGATTTTGCGACGAGTACTCAAAGAAAAATATGTTTAGCAAGTAATTCATAAAATTATAAATAATAGTTCTATTAATATTATGGCAATAAAAAAAATATGGAGAAATAGTTTTTAATTAAGAAATGAAAATAAGTATTATAATATAAATTAAAAGTGTTTCCTTAGTTGTATGAAAACATTTGTATTTCTAAAGAAGAATTAATTATCTATTAGGATAAGTACTTTATATTAAAGTGGTTCTGGAAATTGTATGAAATGTAAAGTGAATGTTTCAGAAATAATGGAGTGGTTCCTTAGAAATAAAGTTAAGATAAGAAATAAATCATTTTGAATATTTATAGTATTTTAAGTCCGGAATCATTTAAGAATATTATTGACCTAAAGTGTATTAAGGATACAAAATTATTAGGCTTGCTTCTCGTGGTAGACGGACTTAAGTCATATCAAATCTGGGATAGCATGTTAATGTATATATTTAGTAAGTTCTATTGTTTTCGGGTTTTCTTGTCATCTGTTCTAATTATTAGATACCTAGACTTTATTAATTTTGTGTTATTTTCTTTTCAAAATCAAAACTAATCAGTCAAACAACAATTTTGTATTATTTCATCTCTTCGACTCCGAAAACCGGATTTTAGGTCCCATATATTCAAGCTCAATTTGGACAGAGATGGCAATCTTTGATGGACAGAGATTGCGGTTGCAAATGTGATAGCACGTGAACCTATCGGGATGCATTGACCATTAATCGATATTAACGGCTGTAACGTCGCCAAATAACTAATTGTAGAATAGCATAGTTGTAGAGATATCGTTTGCATACTGTAATTATTTTACTGTGGTTTAAACGATCTTAATAAGTACCTATATGGAAGAATAAATCAACTTTAGCATTGTCTTTGTAACATTTACACGACCTTTAATATTTATCATGTGTTATAATGCTAATCGGAAATGTATATGTGAGTTATTCCTTAATACATTAACAGTTGGTTTCTGAGACTATACTAGAAAATCTCTATATAAAAAATATATCGTCATCTCTGTCATTATCTTTGGTAATACAGTGATAAAAATATGTTTGAAATGGGGATATTGTTCTCAGAAACCCACGGTTAATGGCAACGTCAATTATAATTGAATCTACATCGATTATTATTTTATTCTAAAGTGGAATATACAATGTAGTTATCAAAGAAAATCGTATTCAATTATTTTCAACTTTTTTAAATTTTTTATGGGCTTGGATATATAAGAAATTAGATAATATTAGTGTAGTTTCGGCCAAAATATTCACTTAATATCAGATAGATTTGTTGTTAAGTACAGCATAATTGAAGGATTATGGGATAATAAAAGTTCAGTCATATTAAATATACTGTTATACATAATTTGTAATGTTTTGTTCAACCTGTGCTCCTTGGTCTAAAACACATATGTTGACGTCACAAATCGCAGTCACGTGCGATCATAACAACAGAAGTTTTCCAGTTTTGCTTGTGTTAAAATTTCAACTGGTTAAGAGGTTAAAATTTTACGTGATTGTACCTTAGTAATGTTTCCCTTAATACAAAGGAGTTATACTGAATTTGTGTTAATTATTTTATATGTTTTTCCTATCGATAATTCAAATAAAATAAACAATATATTTTGCAATTCCTACATTGAATATATTTCTATATAATATTAGAGTAGTAGCTGTTGCCCGCGACTACGTCTGCGTGATAAAAAAAAATAATAAGTAGCCTATGTGTTCTTCCATACTATCTTCTAGATTTATGCCAAATTTCAGCGGTATCCGTTCAGCCGTTCTGGAGATATCTTCAAACAAACATCCATCCAAATCTACGAATTTATAATATTCGTAAGATATATTTCTTTTAGAATTAAATTACAAGCATTCACAAACAATTATAAAACGGAATTTTTCGATTATTAATAAAAAGTCACGTTTTTAGGGTTCCGTACCTCGTAGGAAAAAAACGGAACCCTTATAGGATCACATTGTTGTCCGTTCGTCTGCGCGTCAAGACCCTTTTTCCCAAAAACGCGTGAAGCTATCAAGCTGGAATTTATATCAAATGTTCAGGTCTGCGGTCGCTAGGTGCTGTGAAAAAATAAAACTTCTAAGCCAACCTAATCAAAAGATATAACCGTTTATGTCGCAAATTTTTTTCGTTATATCAAGTTGCAAGGATAACCTCGTTAAATGTCAATGGTTCAATACCGTAAAGATAATTTTAACAAATTATTATGCAACTTTTTAATGTTTACTGATAACACATTTGACTTTTTAGTTCCGTATCCAAAACATAAGAGCTAGATGTAAACAAATGAAATGAGGTCATTCATCTTTAGTAACATGACGACTATCGATTTTTTTTCTAATCTCTCTTTTAAAACTAAGAGACGAAAGGCCAAGCTTTTATCAAATAATGATATAAATTTTCGATTCAAATTTTTAAAGATTTTTTAGTTTTAGTCCTCATTTCCATTCTTTTTCTTATAAGGAAAGAATGAGAAGTGAAAGTATTCCGGGAAAGCATGGGAAGGTAAAATTATTATTCTCTTTGTGTGCATCCCGTCCTCCGTCGACTAAAGATAGACAACGTATCTGCAACTGCTGATGTCTATGGGCAACAATTCGCTGTTTAGCGATTTAAGTTGGCAGTTCGCTCCTTTGCCACCTTATGGTAAAGCAATAAAGATTGTTGCATACTCAAATGATAACAGTATCAATATAGTCTTGTCTCCTTAACTAAGTTACCTGTATTAAAAGAGCCAATGACTTCCCTTTTTAGTGCATCATACAAAATAGGTACAGAGTAAAAAACTTTGTATTCTAATTTTCTAACTTCTAATTTAACTTAAAATTTATTCGTCAGTTTCCAGACATCCCATAAAGGCAGTACTGATCTGGATATTTATAACATAGACAACAATCAGAAATAATGGAACTAATTTTACCGGAGAAGTACATAAAAATTAGGAATAAATTCATTATAACTCCGTAACTCAACTACGAAATAAAATATATTTTTTCTTCCATACAATTTTTTTTTATTTAAGCCCAAAACAAGCTGATTTTGTTAAAGAACATGTACAGATGTAAATGAGAACATTAGGAAATTGCTCTCGCTAAGAGGAAAGCATTTAAGTCACTCTGTTTTTGTCCCGTTTTATTAACCATTGTCCACAATTACACCGTATGTTAAGGTCGCTTATTAAAACCGCTTACATATACTTAAGTTTTATTACATTATCAAAAAGAAATGTACCTAAGTGTACCGTAAAGCATTTAGTATATAATTTTAGACGCTCCAAAAATAAATCTATAAGCTCTTTATCTTTCGTAGGATATTCTTCATAACACTTTTTTTGGACGTTTTTAAACAAAAAATATATTGACAAAGGATATGAAACACACTGTATAAAACATATCGTCATCCCTGTCATTATCTTGGATAAAACAGAGATGATGAGAACGATGTTTTAAACGTAGATTTTGGTTCCAGAAATACAGGTTAACCTAATGTTAAAATGTTTTTTCAGAAATAATAATTTAAAAAAATCGGTGTAAAAGAGAGCCAAGTGAAAAAGCTAGTGACTTTCGCATTTGTAGGTTAACCCGTCGCCATTCTAAAAGTATAATGGGATCGCGAATTAAACTAAAGTTTTAATTAGTTGCAATAGTGAATTGTAAAAGTGTGAGATGGTTTCAGGATTAGTCAGACGCCCTATTTAAATTTCAAATTGTACCCTTTGTGTTAGTATAAAAAACTAAATCCCATTTAAATCCATGCCTTCAGATAGCTTTATATTACAACGTACTAAGGCTTAAGTAAAACGAAAAAAGTAATAATATTACAAGTCTCGATTTTAAAGTAATTTACTTCTAGAAATTAATTAAACTGCAATAAATTAAAATAAAACAAAGGATAAGTATTTTTGTTTATAAGCCTAGTAAATAAATGAAAATATTTATTAATACATTGGTCCTAAAAACAAGTAGGCAGGCGCCAGACCTTACTTGGTGCTGCTGCTACTTAATGCTGGCAGGCCGTAACAAATACCCCGAAAGGGAGCTGCCTCTGCAGCTGACGCAGACGGGGCCGCGGACGAGAGCGAAAGCGTGCCCGTGGCCCCGTACCGATGCGTTGGAGGAACAGATAAAAAAAAGTCGTAACAAAAAAGCCAAAACATTAAGATGGGAGGCCAGTAAAATGATGCTATAGTTTTGTGCGCTATGTTTAGAATAAAAATAGGTACAAAACATGTTTATCATTTTAAAATTGCTTATTGTGACATTTGACATTATTTTTTTTTGTAAAGTATCCGAGCTAAAACAGAAGCTAATTGGTTCAAAATCGAAAGTTATAAGGCTTCAAAAATACCATCATGCTTAAGTGTGTATAATAAAATTTTAAAATAACGTTCGAAGTTCTTTCAAGATCACAAATGCTTTTAACTTTGAAGCGAAGGCTGGTCTCAGATGTTTATGACAGAACAAGCGCAGATGTTGCTTTTCGCGCAAGTCCTATTAAAGTTTTCATTAATCTATACAAGGGTTATTAATTTTGTAATATCACAAACATTGAAGGGGTATTGGAATAAACAAAGCTTTTCAAAATGGTTTAAAAGTTCAAACAATAAATGTTTCATAAATTTATTAAAAAAACAAAATGTTAACATAATTTTTTTGTTTAATAAGTACGTTCTTTTAATTAACTTCTCCTGCACTTACTAATTTTCTAGATCTTTGATTCTTTATATAATAGTTAATTCAAATTTATTCAATACCTAATATAATTATATATCTAATTTAATAGAAAGTAAATACATAAAAATTATTTATCTTAAATATAGTACACCAGTAAATCTTACTTCTTTCTACGAGTAATCTTACTAATATTATAAATGCGAATGTTTAGATGGATGGATGTTTGATTAAAGGTATCTCCAGAACGATTGAACGGATGACATTTGGCATTGATGTAGAATATAGTCTAAGGAAATCATAGGCTACTAATTAACACAGCCAGCTAGTCTTTATATATATAATTCTTCTGTGAGTGTGTATGTCACTGAACTTCTCTCAAACGACTGGACCGATTTTGATGAAATTTTATGTGTGTGTTCAAGGGGATCTGGGAATGGGTTTAGATTCACAATTTTGTCCGCTGGACAATGTTTTTTTAATTAATTTTTAATTTATTGGTAGTTATTGATTTTGGAATGTTTTACATTGGATCCGACAGACGGCGCTACCATCGCAGTGTTAAATTTTAAATAATATTCGAATTTTAATTTTAGCTTATTAAAAAAAGTTTGAAATTTTCAAATTAAAGACGTGTAGACAGGACAACGTCTGTCGGGTCCGCTAGTATAGTATAAAATATTCATGACTTAACTTTCCGATGAAATGTATTAACAGGCTACACATAACAATGATCAAGCACCGTGTACAACAAACAACAAGCCATATAACAAACATACTACAAAGTGTTGTAAATTATGTTGCATTAGAGGCAAACGACGCCTGTTGCTGTTCGTTCAATCGGCTGCAATTTAAACTTTCGCTTCGGCATTAGTTCTGTCATAACTCACTGACGTGAATGATGCTATCGATTATTATTTAAACTGAATTAACAATAACTTAATTAATAATTTAGTAAAAGTATATACTTCGTAACGGGCCGATCGAATATATCATGAATCGGCTTAATGGGAAAAAGTCACATTGGGCCGATTGATTTATAGGTCATCTAACTATGAGTTCTAACCATCGTAATCAATGTAAAACAATATTCCAATACTCATTTACCTCTCAGCCTCTTTGGAAAAAGCAAAGATTATAACTATATTCTAACACAGATGTGATCGCAATTGAAATTATCGCCAAATCACTTTACACTAATCTCCATATCCTAGCATACATAAATAAAAAAAAACTGTCTAAATAGGGTCAGTACGGGTCCGATGAAAATATTATATTAAAGGAAATAATATTATTGCTTTGATTCTTACAATTATTTTTCTAATTACGCTAACGAGCTGTGATTCGCAAAGGAATGGAAGGGAAGCGTTAAGTTTTTCGACTTCACTGGCGCTACAATCAAAGAACTAACGGCAAAGTTTTGTACGCATTATCGACACGCCAATAGTCTGATTGCCTTCCGACACGAACCTAACACGATTCTCCTTATCGACGCTTCACTCTTACTAATATTATAAATGCGAATGTTTGGATGGATATCCATCAAATTTGCCAAGAATATAGAATTAAGCCAAGAAGAACAGACAGATTCGCAGGCATAGCTAGTTAAATATAAGACAATTCTATTTCATTACCAGTACGTGATTTATTATACTTCTTTTCCCATTAACTTAAGATCAGACTACCTTGTTTTATCCCACCAGAATCATCATCAAGCCTTATAGCTATAATCTATAGAGATCTATTCTTTACTTCATTGATAAAAGAATCAGTATAATCATGTTGTTATTGTACCGAATGTCAACCTTCCTAGTTTCTAAGATTCATAGAATAATTATGAAATGGGATTTTTTACCAACGGGCCGATTGATTCTATGGATTCAATCAGCTCAATAGAAACGAAAAATATTTTTTCTTTTGGTCTAAAATCTCCAAGTTTATTTGAGAGAAATAAGAAACCCATTTAATTATAAGTAATTGCTAGGGTCTGTTAACAAACAAAAACTTTGTAGAAACCGAATACTAAAGGAAATTTAATGTGGTTTCTCAAAGTTTCTTAATGAAGGCACATGGTGAAACTCAGATATGTATATCTCGTTTTATGTGTCATTAAACAAACGAACTGCAATGTCCAGGGATAGGCCTCTGTCACTTTACGACAAATTTTACAACGTCTGGAGAAATATGTCATATGAAATTGTACCTTTTGAAAATAACCACTCTTAAGAATTAAGCTTAGTCAACTATATTATGACAACCAAGTCGGAGTAATTCCTAAAAAATGACGGGTGGGCTGAAATTGTCCGAATAATTGCAAACCTTAAGTGGTGAGCTCATCTCACAATATCCGCAGAACTAACGGCCGATGGGGCTGTAAAGTGTCAGAATGGTGGCCACGGGCTGGTCGAGGCAGCGTTGGTAGGCCTACTACAAGTTGGACCGATGACCTGGTCAAGGTTGCAGTAGTGTACTAGATGCGGGGGGCACAAGACCGGGAATTGTGGCATTCGTTGGGGGAGGACGTTCAGAAATGGATGAATCCGGGCTGATAATGTTAATAGAATATGAAAGGCTTCAGGCCTCTTCGTAATTAAGCAATATATTTTGTGTAACTGTGTTACACCTTCAACCACATGAGCCATTTCACACTATGGGTCTTTGGGTAGCCATCCGTGTGTGCACACTTGACACTTCTGCAAAATCTGTTCAGTGTATACCTAGCAATCAATATCTAATTATATTAAACCGAAGTAATATTAAACCTTATTACATACATTTCATGTTACATATTATTATATTTCATCGCTTCATTTTTCGATATAAGTATTAACCAGGTAGTCCCCTCAACCTACAGGTGACTTTGCACGCTTAAAAGACACTCAATTTACTAAGTTGAAATTTGAATTTCACGCGACTTACCTACACTTCCGGCGAGTCGAGGACAGGGTGCGAGACCATTCCGAGTTCATTCCCTTTTCGTGCACGGTGACAACAACACGCGTCAACTTAAGAAAGAGGAAAAGAAAAGAACAATGCCGAAACGTAGTGCTGAAGATCAAATATCACATTACGAACGTAAGATTAGAAAATTAAGAGAACGCGAAATCGGACGACGTCGCCGTATTCGCATCATATCTGATTCTTCGGATGACGAAGGTAGGCGTAATAATTTTTTCTTTAGACATTGTGTACATTATTTGTTAACAACATGTGGATGGACATAATACTTGTGTTCTAATACCACTTGTCGATTATCGAACACGCTATCGACGTTCAACAGAAAAGGCCGTGAGCCTTGTTCGTTGAAACATTATTATTCATCAGGACAGGCCGCGAGCCTCGTTCGTTGAAACAAAATTCTTCATTGGAGCAGGCCGTGAGCCTCGCTCGTTGAAGTAACTAAGTTAATAAATATTTTGGTTGTAGATACTGAATGTTTGGAGCAAAGCCTTGCGCCACAAAACAATGAGCCTGAGCCCGTCGTGGAGCCCGAGCTCGCGCCCGATCCCGATCCTGACCCTTTACCGGATACAAGAGGCGAATCAGGCGATCCACAGTTGGACCCTGATATTTTAGAAGCCCTCGGTGAGTCAACCAGTGACATCTCAGAGTTTGGAGAAAAAATCCACGAAAGTTTGGCTAAATTATGGCTTCCGCTTTTGGTTAAGGGCTTGCCTAGAGATAAGAAAGATAATTTATTAAAAGATTACCTCATACCCGACAATTGTAGGTTATTACAAGCACCTAAGCTAAATGCCGAAATATCTGCAGCCGTAGCGGACTCTGTTAGGAACAGAGACAAGATCCTAGTTGCCCATCAGCAACAATTAGGATCGGGCATAACTGCCGCCAACCGAGCGTTAAACATTCTTTTAAGCGGCGAAGACAAGAAAGCTTCCATAAATCATTTAAGTAATGCCTGTCGCATACTTTCGGATTTACATGCAACAAACACGAATAGTCGCATTAAACTCATAACACCAAACCTAGATAAGAATTTTATCCACATCATTCAAGATTCAGTACGAGACGAAACTCTGTTTGGTAACAATCTTTCTGATAAGATCAAGGCTGCCAAAGCAATAGAACGTCAGGGTCTGCAAATTAAAAAATCTATTTCGAGATCTTCCGGACCTCAAACCACAAGCAACCGCTCTTCAAACTCGGGAAACTGGTCCGGCCCGCCCCGGTATTCGTCGATTCGCGGCAACCGAGGCGGGAAGAAAGCAATATCACAGAACCGCCGCGTATACCCGAGCTCGACGCAACAGCAGTCAGCGTCGAAACCTGCAGCAGCGATCAGGCCTCGTGCCCCGGCACCGCAGTAACTCAGGTACATGCAGGCAGAATTAAATACTTTTTTATTTGCTGGTCTAAAATAACCTCCAATCCAGTCATTTTAGATTGGATACAAAACGGCCTGTCCATACCTTTTTGCAAGAAAGTAAATCAAAGAAAAATACCTCACAATACTTTTTCGAAGTTAGAGCATCAGGAAATGTCAACAGCGATTCAAAAACTAGTTAACTTAGGCGCCGTAACGGAATGTCTTCCGAGTAGAGACCAATTTGTTTCCAAAATATTCCTTGCAAATAAGACAAGCGGCGGCAAACGATTTATATTAAATTTAAAACCACTAAATAAATATGTTTTAAAGTGTCACTTCAAGATGGAAGATTACCGAACGGCGGCGAAGTTAATACCTCAAAACGGTTACTTAGCCACAATTGATCTAAAGGAAGCTTACCTACTAGTTCCTATTCATGCTAAACATAGAAAATATTTAAGATTTCAGTTTAAGATAAACAATCATAATAAAACTTACGAGTTCACTTCGATGCCTTACGGACTTTCCGTGGCTCCTAGGGTGTTTACTAAGATTATGAGAGAAGTTATAACTCATTTGAGAAATGCAGGCTTTAATTCGGTAATCTATTTAGACGATATCTTATGTATTGGCAATACTTACGAAGATTGCATGTTTAACATTAACGAAACTTTAAAACTTTTACAGTGCCTAGGTTTTGTCATAAATTACGATAAAAGTTCATTGCGACCTCAACAAATTTGTAAATTCTTAGGTTTCATTTTTAACACTCGGAATCTAACTATTTCTCTCCCAGACAGTAAACGTAACAGTATCTTGCAATTGGTTCAGAATTTTTCACACATGCATACATGCACTATTAGAGAATTTGCTCAATTGATTGGTAATCTTATTGCTGCGTGTCCGGCAGTTAAATATGGTTGGTCGTATACAAAGCTATTAGAACGACAAAAATACCTTGCTCTTTTAGAAAATCAGAACTATGAGCGAAAGATTAATTTACCTAGTATTATCCTTGAGGATCTTACCTGGTGGATCAACAACATCAAAACAACGTCGCATCCAATGCGAGACGCCAGCTATAAAATGGAGATTTACACAGATGCATCACGTACCGGCTGGGGCGCGGTATGTGATAAAAATCGAGCTCACGGCGGATGGTCATTTAGCGAACGTAATCATCATATAAATTACCTCGAACTATTAGCAACATTTTTCGGACTCAAGAGCCTAGCATCCAAAGAAACCAATTGCGCGATACTTTTACGGGTAGACAATACTACAGCCATTAGCTATGTAAATCGCATGGGCGGAATACAATTTCCCCACTTAAATGCGATCGCTCGGCGAATTTGGCAATGGTGCGAGATGCGTAACATTTGGATCTACGCGTCTTACGTCAATACTAAAGAAAATCGAGCTGACGTCGAATCTAGGATTATAAATCCGGACACCGAGTGGGAGCTGTCCGCTACTAGTTTTCAAAACATCGTGTCATACTTTGGACGACCAAACATAGACTTATTCGCATCCCGCACCAATGCTAAATGCACAGACTTTGTCTCTTGGAGACCAGATCCCGACGCAATAGCTGTAGATGCTTTTACTATAAGCTGGAGTTGTTGTTATTTTTATGCTTTCCCCCCATTTTCTGTAATATTAAAATGCCTAAGGAAAATAATGGAGGACCGAGCAGATGGTATACTCGTTTTTCCTCACTGGCCTTCGCAGCCTTGGTTCCCCTTATTACAAGAGTTATTAGCGTCCGATATTCTTCTCTTGCGACCTAATAAAAATATTTTACGTTCGCATTCCAGAGAACACCATCCTCTACACGCCAGCCTTACCCTGGGTGTCGCGAGGCTCTCCGGCAAGCTTTCTCCGAAAGATGCCCACCAGAGGCCCTCGAACTCATGCTAGCATCGCTCTCCGATAGTACGGTAAAACAGTATAATGTGTCCTATAAGGCTTGGTGGCAGTTTTGTGAAAACAGAAACATTAGTCAATTCCATGCCTCAGTATTCAATCTCTTGTCTTTTCTAACAAGCCAATTTAATAACGGTTGCTCATACGGGAGTCTTAATTCTCATAGATCGGCGCTATCATTATTCTCAAGACAACGCGAAGATATTAATTGCCGATATTATAAAGACTTCCACCCCAGGCCGAGAGCAACCTATACTCCTTTTACCATTTTTCTCACAAAATGTCAATATTTGTCCAGCTACGGCTTTGAAAGATTATATTTCTGTCACAGAAAACAAAAGGAAAGAAAACAGAGGTAAACTGTTTCTGACTCACAAACCACCACACAAACCAGCCACGTCCCAGTCAATCAGTCGATGGATTAAACAAGTACTATCGGAGAGCGGCGTGGATGTATCGACGTTCGGCGCGCATAGCACGCGGCACGCCGCCACATCGGCGGCCAGCCGCGCGGGCCTGAACGTTGATGCCATCCGCAAAGCTGCCGGATGGACCCCTTCATCTAATATTTTTGCACGGTTCTACAATAGAACCCTTATCGATGAAGGGAACTTTGCTAAGTCCGCTTGCCATACCTCTATAATGTCTGATTTATGCTTTTCTCTGTAGATAATTATCGAACTAGAACTAGATTGTTAAACCTTTAGGATTACATAATAATTGTCTGATTAAAAATAACGATTGTAACTATTAAATATATTCTAAGAATTATTTATAGTTTTAGTAACGAGTAAAACTTTCCGCTCCGAAATTCTACCTGGTTAATACTTATATCGAAAAATGAAGCGATGAAATATAATATAAGATCAAACGAACTTCTCAAGTGAAGTTCGATCGTTATTATATGAATCGCTTCATTTGAAGATATAATCTGTTACCCGCCCTCCCGTAACGCCACTTCGCTAACCCTAGTATGGAAAGTTTTTCTCAGCACTCTAAAAATAATGAACTCGGAATGGTCTCGCACCCTGTCCTCGACTCGCCGGAAGTGTAGGTAAGTCGCGTGAAATTCAAATTTCAACTTAGTAAATTGAGTGTCTTTTAAGCGTGCAAAGTCACCTGTAGGTTGAGGGGACTACCTGGTTAATACTTATATCTTCAAATGAAGCGATTCATATAATAACGATCGAACTTCACTTGAGAAGTTCGTTTGATCTTATATTAGTAGACATTGCGTTACATTATGGTTATTATTTAAAACCACTTTAGAATTTTTCGTTCAAAGAAAATTTATCCAAAAAGCCTCAATAAAATCTTTATCGTCCGTAATCCTTCTATGAAAACGTAAACTGCGGTAAAATGAATATCTATTTACTAAAGAAAAGAATTCTAATAAAACCCAAAAGGATTACGGGACGATCAATTCTAATCCTATTTAAAAAAAATGCAAGCAAAATATTAAATACTTTTCAAAGAATCTGATGGCTATATTTATTCGTTTAAATATTCGTATTTAACAAAGTCCCTTTGATGTTCTTTTGGGATATGTCGGCTGCCCAACTCATTAATATAATTTCTTGTTGAACGATTTTGAATAGCCCGTCTATTTTCATCAAAGCAAATTCAAATGTACAGTTATATTTCCTTGTGATTAATATCAAAACAGTAATTCGTAATTCGATTAAAGATTTCCACGTTTAAGTCTATGGAAATTTCCGGACGTTATTTTCTGGCTTCCTGCGTATACTTTTATTCAGATAAGATAAAAAAACACTTGATTTCTTTAATTTCGTTTGTAAACTTTTGTAAGCCGATTCGATTTTGTGTGGAACATTTATTCATTTATAATAATTGTCTCTCAACAAAAGGAGCTAAAATAAAGATAAGGCCGGCAACGCATCTGCAGTTCCTCTGGTGTTGCAGATGTCCATGGGTGTCGTTGATCGCCTCGGTGTTCACGCCGCTCGTTTGCTCCCTTTTCTTATAAAAAAAAATAAAAAAAGTTTTTTGTAATATTGTCTTGCAGAGATTAGGTTTATTTTACTAGCTATTTTATTCCAGGTTTTAAAACTATAAGGATTGTAGGAGATCGAATATTACATTAATCAGCTAACCTTCAAAAAAAAGTTTTATTAGACGTTTTGCTGCGTCACTAACTAGAGATGTCATTTTGAAACATGTCCAAACGGGTATTACCATTTAAAAAGTATAATGAAAACGTCACTCTTACTTAAAACGTGTTATATTAACTTTTTTCGTGACTTTATTCGCTAGAATGTCTTTTATAAAATGTCCTTAAGGTGTCATTTAATATATTTGATAAGCGTAATTTAATCAAATTAACATGTGATTAAAAACTTAAATACTTTTCGCATGTTTTAGAGGAGACTGGGGAATATGTGCAGAGGATCGTCTGTAGCCGTCTGTTGCAGATTAATACTTTATTGTGTACTTATCGGGTGTTTCCCGTTGGGCTTGCCGGTGGTTCGATCAATCGGCCCAAAGGTGATTTTTTCCCTTTGGGCCGATTGGAATTTAAATGTATAAAGTAATTTGCAAAATTTTAATTGATAATTAATTATAATTCGTTAGCTCGAAGGCTATATTAATGATTTGTGAGAAATGCAATTTTTGTAATTCCCAAAATCAAAAAATGCAATGTAATATTCCGAGAATGTTTATATTAGCAATAAAACAAGAGAAGAATACCACCAACAATATGTAATTGTGGTAATAATAAAGACTATATCCAATAAGTAGGCACTTTACTGTAAGCCTAATCCTTTAATCCCTAACCTTAAGTAATGAGCCGATTTGTAAGCAATGTACTTCTTATCGAAAAGAACTCACGGCTCCAAATGTCGTAATAGTATTAATTTGAAATTTATTTGATCAGAAAAATTCCTGCCAGTAATAAGCTACTTGTGTTCGCTTATGATTTTAATTGGTAAATGGGGAACTAATTCTTTCGTCACCTTTCATTTCCATTTTCATAACATACTTTTTTCCAGGTTGGTAAAAAACTAAGGTCATAAGTAATATATGCAGCAAAATAATAGTCACGTTTATTTTTAAGCAACTTGTTTTTAAATGTAAATTAATAGAGTTAGAAAATAGGTGAAGTTTTTAAATAAAGAATCTGTTTCCGAATTTCGCGACGTGAATTTTCATTTACTCAACACGTACGATAATGGACTCAGCGTCGCGCGAAATTATATTTTATACTAACAATAGGTTGATGCAAATTATTACTACATATATTCAAGACTAAGCGGATATTTGTATAAGTAAATTAACTCGTTTAAACGCCTGACTTAACTTATGATCTTGATTTCTTTTTAAAGATGTCTATTATAAACTTGACGTCAAAAGCAAATACAACATTATCTCACGAATCCGGCACTATTAACAACCGGGTGCCGGATTATTGGAATCTTAGGATTACTGGATTATAGTGAAAAAGTCATAGGTAATGAATGAAATATAGCATTTCAGAGGAAGAATATAATTTATTAAATTAACGTGAAGTTTTATTTTTTAATTTTATACTATTAGCTTGTGCTAAACGACGACGCAGCGACCGAAGCACACGGGGCGAGTAAGGCGTGGTCAGAGGGTGCCGGATTATTGGACTTGCCGATGTATCTGAATGCCGGATTAGTGATACTGTATTACACTTTTAACATTTCAATTTGTCTGTCTGTCATTTCTGATTGAAAACGATTCAAACAATAACATTAGCAATTATGATCAAACAGAGACATATTTATATAATATTATATTGTATATTTATTTTAAAAACAGAATAAGAAACGAGCTTGGTAACGATAAAAGCTTTGGCATTGATTGAGTTTGTTTTGAACAATATTTGCTTCTATACAATAACATTGATACATTAAATATTCCCTTTGGTTATTTGAAAAGCAATTTTGTTTTGTTTTTATTACGATTGTTTATATAATATCTCCTTTTCGGGCTATATTCAAGAGATCTCAACATTGGACAATATTAAGGTTATATTGATAAAAAGAACGATGTTAAAGAAATTAATGATCCAAAAGTTTTAATTTTTTAAGACAATCATAGTTTTTTCTTCTTGATTTTAATTAAAAGTGTACTAAGGTAAGGCAGAATAGAACATCGGTTAAATAAAATCTAAACTTATAAAAGGCACTTCGCATGTTTGTTGAAGGATGAAAATAGTTTTGATGAACTTTAAATATGTTTTGGTTTTTATTATCTATGTTTCTTAAGAGATTTGTTTAAGTCTTGCTACGATCACTTTGCTACTTTAGCGATTTCAGGTGGTCGCTCGCTCGTTTGCCACCTTATGAGAGATAAAACTCCATGTATAAATTATAACTACATTTATTTAACGTAGTGTTAGACTCAATTATTTACTGATTTTTTTTTTATATCATAAGGTGGCAAACGAGCGAGCGGCCACCTGAAATCGCTGAAGTAGCGAAGTGACCGTTGCCCATAGACATACGCAATTGCATATCCGTTGCCTACCTTTAATCGACGGAGGAGAGGATGCACAGAAAAAATATTTTCCCTGTCCATGCATCCTCTCATCCGGAAAGTCCACTTCCACTTCCTATCCTTTCCTTATAAGAAAAGGGTGGGAAGGTAAAGAGGACTAAATTAGGCCTCCGGGACGCACACTCATCAGACGAAACGCGGAATTGCTTTCACTTCACGCCTGTTTTCTGTGTGGTGGTGGTATTTCACCGGGCGAACCTGGCCAATTCGTGCGAAGATGTTAAAGCGGGTTCTACCACTCTTGAATTTCGTTCTTTCTATTCATAGCTATGATCATTCCATTAATATTTCAATTAATTTATTATAATTTTTAACAGTATTTGCTATGGAAGATTATACTCAGACAACTTAGAATATTTAACAAGTCTCCACGAAGACTAAAATACAAATTTATAAAGTCTATACCTCGTAAAATTATA